TGCTAGGGAGAAAGGCTGCCTTGTTGGGGAGCTGCCAGTCCCACCACCGCCTGCTGCACCTTCTCACCTTGCTGTGGGTCAGAGCTGGGGCAGGAAACCACCCCATGGTGCTCCCTCCTTTACCAGCACTGCCTCAGTCCCACCTTGCTCCCTCCTTCATTTTACAAAGATGCTGAAACCCACCTGTGGCTCGTGATGCCCACACAGGCTATTTATCAGGCCAAAAATCACCATCACAACCATTAACCTTCTTAACATCAACATGGAAATGGAAAATGTTTGTGCTGCCATGGGTGGAAGTAGCTCTGGTCCCAAAGGCTGGGATGCATGAACCTGCCTCCTCCCACATCCTACCCTTGCAGCTCCAGCACTCCAGACCCCCGTGTTGATGGCCCTGCCTGCATCTCCCTTCCCCGAACAGCCAACAGAGCCTCTTGGTTTGGCCCCAAACTGGCTGATTTAGCCTGGTTCCCCTTCTCCCCAGAGAATAAAACCCAGTGCTGATGTCCCGGTGATGGTCCCAGCCTGTGCCTACCATTCCTTGTGCTTCATTCCATGTGATTTTGATCACATCTTTAAAAATAAAAAACTCCAGACCCAGCCTTCTCAGGGCAGAGATATTTCTGTGCAACAAACGCTCCGATGCAAATTCTCCGATGTCCTATTTTGGGTTTCTCGCCCGCGTCGGCACTGGTTGCAGACGTCGGCGCTGGAGCTCCTGCTGAGCCTTTGGCAGTAACCGTGGTGGAAGTTAGCAAGTCTTTCTCAGGCCACCCAACGCCTGCCACCTAATGAAACCCCAACTGACATCAGCCCTTCCTTCCCTTCCCTGTATTTATTCCTTATAGCATTCATTCTGTTTGCCCGCATTGGAGAACGCTGTGCAGCCCCAGAAGTTTTCCCAGCATTTGGGGATGGGTGCATGGGGTGAGCCCAGTTTGGGGACCTGGCTTTCCTGCCCCAGGCTCTCTGTGGGGTGAAAGCAGTGCCCTACCACGCCCCATACATCTTCCCTGCCCATCGCAGGCTCAGGGGGTCACTTTGGCAGGAGGATGCCTGGGTGCAGCTCCTAACCCTGCTGCTGCTTTCCTGGGGCACCCATGGCTGTTCGGTTTGGTTTTTGTTTTTTTTTAATCCAGAAATCAAGGCACTGCCTCTGGTTTCTTCCCACTCTCTCTTGCACCTCTTTGCCGCTTCTGCTGGGTCCAGGTAAGGCAGCAGCAGTCAGTTTGATTGCACCCAGAGCCATCTGCCCGGTTGGGAGCACGCTGCGTGGCCGTGAGCTGCTGGCTGGTGGGATGACATGCCTTCCCCTCGCCTCGCAGATGTGATGAGGGTTTGGGATGCTGTGTCTGAATGCATTCAGCAACTGCTCATGATGAAGTAGGTAGCCTTTATCTCCTCCACTCACAAGTTGGTGATTTCAGTAGACCTGAAACCCTTACGCTATCGCATGCTCTTGCTCTTCCCCTCCTTTAAAGGCAGCTAAAACATCCCAGAATTCCCTTGCAGCTGGTAAATGGGCCACAGACCAAATTCTCCACCCAGCTCTAGCAGAGAGAAGTTTTCAACAGGTTTTTGTGGCTTCAGTGTTCCCCACAGCCAGAGAGGAAAGACAGGACCAAGGGCTTGAAACATTTTTTAGGGTTTATCCCAAATTCTGGGAAGCCTCATTGTAGCTGAGGGCTGTTGGCTCTGCTCTTCACCAAATGCTTCTTAGAGGCTGAAGAGGAAGGAGAGGAAACACCTCAGCATACGGAGGTCTTCCCCAAAGCTTCCCAGTGCCACTTCTTGCTCCTCTGTACGTCAGGGCAGGGCACAAGGGATGAACCACCACTACCATGCTCTAAAAAGTCAGCCTTCATTTCTACCAGCCACAAAATGCTTATTATTTACTCCTCTTCTCCTTGGCCTTCAGGCTATCAGAATACCTGGAACTGGGACATTCTCAACAGTTGACTAACAGACGTTGGATCTTGGATTCAGTGATGTCACTGCTGGGAGATGGGTTTCTTGGCTACCCGCGGCTTTGGCAGATGTTTGTGGGCTCATTTCTCCTCAAACTGGCATTCTTGGTAAGAGGGGAGATGGAAACCTTTGCTTCCCCTTGCAGCACCTTTGGGGTGTACGCTCATTTCTGCATCACCAAGAGAGGAAGGGAAGCCCTTCAGAAGGTCCTGAGGGCATCACAAGAGGAAAGCACCCCCCACGTAACTAGGTGTATAAAGCTAGCATCTTTGTTTTATCAACTGGATTCAAACCATTTGTATTTTATTCAGCGGTGTGGTGACTGTTGTCTAACAAAGAGACGTGTCCTGGAGCTGCGGCTTCTGAGTCAGTTGAGGTAAAAATTGATGCTCCATAGTTGTGCTGCACCAGACCTTGTGAAGGCAAATGCCAGACTTCATCATGCTGGCTCCTACAGCCTCCTTGTACTTCAGACTGCTTTGGTAGCAACCATAGACGGCCTTGAAAGAGAGAAGGCACAGAAGGTTTGTACAAAAGCCCATGGACGGGCAGATTTTCCGTGATTGCCGGTCAATCTTGCCATCCCTGCAACTGTGTCGCCCCAGGGTGCCGGGGGGCACCAAGAGCCCAGGGTGCACCCATCTCAACATCAGCCCGGTGGTCTCTGCACCAAAAGGAGAGATGGCAAGTCAGAGGTGGTCTGCAGGTGTTTTGCTTTTCAATGACACCTACTTGAGCACACCCTACCCAACGTGACCTGGCTAAGTTTCTTCAAACCCTGGATGTGTTGAGTGTGGACAATTTCAGCGTGGCGCAGTACCATCCACCCATGCCATCTGCTTGGCCTCCTGGTTTGCAGAGTATTTTCAGATTTCTGCTGCCACGACTGGGCAGCTCCTCACAGCAGGACTCCCTGACCCAGACCCCAGCACACATGCCCTGGCTGTGGTGGGCACATGAGAAGGGACAGGGACAGGAGGTGGGTGGGACTAATTATAGCGTGGATTGAATTGCAGAAAAGCCCATCTATATGGTTATCAATTCTGGGAAGCTCCATTAGATGTCTTCACTGGCACCTTAACACTATTTCTGGAGCTTCCTTTAAAAGATACAATATAATCTAATCCCCATACCTGCGCTCACACAAAACCCACCAAGAGGATTTGGTGTGACCCACCAGTGTGCTGAGAGGCTTGGCAGAAACAGCTCTTCCTTCCGCCCCAATGATAATGTCACAAGTGACGTCAGCATGAAGTACAGGGACCGAGTCAAAATGACAGTGAAAGCTTGGTCTGATGCTGATGTTCCCCTGCGGAAGCGGATGAGGTGCCACTCTCCTGGGTCTCCAGCTAGGACTACAGGTCCTTCAGTGTTGGCTGCACTTGGGGAAACAGAACCACCTATTTGCAGCATCGTTTTATGAGCACCTTTGGAGAGAAGACAACGTGGCCTCGACGGTTGGGTGTGCGTGACCCATCAGCAGGGCTGGGGATCCCATCCTGGAGTCAAAGGCTTGGTGTAGCATCCCCTGCTGTCCTAGGTCACGTTGGCTTAGACCTTACCTCCAGCCACCTCCCTGCAGCCCAAAGGTAATGCCTGACGTTTGCTCTGAGGGCTACCAGTACGAGTCGCACAAGGGGTGTGCAGGGACCGGGGGAGGGAGGGGTCCACGGACAGGTCAGGCAGCCCCAGGCGAGGGGCTTCATCTCAGATCTGGCTCTTCCCTTTGAAAGGCAGGGCCTGCTTTTTCGCTCCAGCTCACGGACACAAACACACCCACCCCAAGGTCTGATATTTGTACAAGTCTCAGCCCCTGCCCCACATTTCCCCATAGCTGCCACAGACAGATGCCAGCCCATTGGGCTCCCAGAGCTGTCTGGGGGGGCAGAGGTCCCAGGAAGGTCCCACAGGACCAAGGGGGGAGAAAGCCAGCCTGCTCCCAGCTGTCCCCACCCCAGTCCACCCCCACCTCTGCAGGGAGAGCAGCTGGGCGAGGGCCAGGGAGATGGGGCTGCCTCCAAACCCAGCTCAGCACACCTCAGGTTTGGACCCCCATGTGTTCCAGGTGACACAAGTGACCTAGGACCCCCTGTGCCAGCTTCACGCTTGGAGGCTTGGGAGGAATAAGGAAGATCTGCTCTATTAAAACTGCTGGAAGAAGGGCACAACGGGTGGTTGGGGGCAGCCAAAGCACAACGGGTGATCAGGGGCATGCAGAGCTCTTATGGAGCAATCGCTTTGTCTTTTTGTCGCGTCTCCTCTTGGTTTCGATGAGCTGCAGCCCCTGCTTCTTGATGTCTTCCCGGGTGAGACCATGATGTTGTCATTTCTCAGCAACCTCAAAGGGGTCTGGAGGAGGGAGCGGAGAGGAGCGGGCTTGGGAGGGTCTGTGGGGCACCTCCACTGTGCCCATGTCCCCGGGGACAGCCAGCACATTTTGGAGCGCTGGTGGCATCCTAGAGAGCTCTCATGCTGAGCCCTCAGGCACCGGTACTGCGGACTGGCTCTTCCAGCCCAGCATCCCAGGGTGACCTGCAGGACCTGGTGATGCCACTGCTGTGGCCCATCTCCAGCACTGCTGGGGCTTCCCATAAAGGTCTGGAGCTCCAGGACGGTGGGTAGAGCTCCCGCTTTGTTAAAAAAAGGTGGTAAGCTGCCAAAAGCTCGCTGTCTCCTCCAAGAGCATCTAACAGGAGGAGGCCACAAGCAGAGCCAAGCATTGGTTATTCTTCACAACCAGGTGCTTTTGAAGATGAGGGTCTCCCTCCTTGCCCCACAGCATCTCCGTTTGTTCCTGTGGTGGTTTGATGCTCACCACCCCACCGGCTGCTGTCATTCTCGCACATCCCCACCTAAAACTACCACCTATGTTTGAAGCCTTGGAGACTGCCAAGGCCAGGCCCAAGGTCTGGAGGCAACTCATGGGTTGGGGTCTGCTGGGACAGTGGGAGACAGACAAGTACGCCCAGAAATCCCAGTGGGCAGGGGCTGGGACAGTTGCTGTGGGACATGTCCCCACTGTGCCCTCCTACGTTGGTCCCTAGGGATTATGTCCTCCAAGTAAATCTCCAGGTCGTGCCGCTCGTTCATGTTCACAGTTGTTTTCTCCAGAAAATTTCTGACCTTCACAAAAGTCTGTGAAAGACACCCTGGGTTAACTGCTGAAGGGAGGTGGGTGTTATGCCCCAAGGGGTGCCCCACCTCGATGTCCTCCTGCGGGGGGGGACACCCCACAGTGCCCAGTGCCACCTGAGGCTCCGCTGCTTCATGGCTCTTCCCTAGGGCCATCTCTATCCTCCCAGCTGGGAGGATGGCTTGGGATGGGCCATCCAGGAGAGCCCCGTGTGAGTCCCCAAAGACCACAGCAGGGGTGGAGCCCCCACGCACCTCATTGTCCTCGTTGAGGCTGCGTCTGTCGGGGGGGCAGGTCAGCCACCCGCTGCATCAGGTACTGCAGCTTCTGCTCACAGTGCTGGAGCTTCTCCTGCACCCCCTTGGCCTTGACAGAATCGTCCTGGAGTCAGAGAGAACAACCGTGGTGGGGAAAATGAGCCACCTGGGGTGACAACGGCTGCACCAAGTGTCACCACGCTGTGCTAGTGCATCACCAAGCACCATGGGGGGCCCTGCTCGTCCCAGTGCTGCATGGCTACCTGGCCAGGTATGGTGATGCCATGCAGACAGAGAAAGAGGTGGTCGATGCCGATTTCAAACTCGAGCAAGAGCTCCTGGTTCCTCAGCATCTGGGCTCGCATCTCCTCCAGCCGAGCCTCTTCCCGCTGCAGGTTCCTCCTCAGCTCCTCCTCCAGCGTCCTGGAGTCAACCACATTCACATCCATACAACTGCATAGGGGTGCAGAGACACCCCAAATCTGTTGCAAAAGCTGCTCAGGTTGCCCCCCCCGCCCCCGCCCCCAGATGCAGAGCAGAGATGCTGCCTGCAACCCAACTCCACGCTGCTGGTACCGCTTCCCATGCCCGGCAAGGAGCAAGGGTCCTCCCTTTGCCACAGTGGGAGATTTGGGTGCTCTACCAGGACCAGAGATGGGGGAGCACCCTGCTCAGAAACCCTCTCCGTGCAGGATGGGTGGGTGGCTGCAGTGGGAAGGAGGAAGGGGTGCCCTGCCAGGACACTTGAGATGCACATGTCCCCTGCCAAGGACAGTGGCCTGCCTGGCACAAGGGCAGCAGCACCTGGTTGCGTTGGAGGGCGTGTGAAATTTCAGCTCAGCCTCCTTCAGCTCCAGCTCCTTCAGCGTCTCCTTCAGCGCCTGCTGCTTCTCCTTGCACTCCTCGATGTACCACTCCAGGTCCATCGAGGACTTCTGCTGTTCCACGAGCCTGTCGGGGATTTCCTGGCCACGGAAGAGCACAAGGACTCAGCCCATGGCATTCCCGCAGGGTACAGGATCCGGGCCATGGCCTTGGGGAGGTTCCTGCACCACTGCAAGCTCATGTCATGGAGAAAAGTAGCTCCATCCCTGCCTGCACAAGAGGGGCTTTGGGGTGCACCAGGGGTGGAGGAGGGCAGATAATCCCGCAATGAAACACCGCGAGCAGAGCGGTTTCAGCTCCTCGGGGCTCAAGCAGCCCCAGGTTTTATCAGAGATGGGTTTTTACGTTACCCAGAGGCAGGACCACTGCACCGCAGCCTTGGCCTTCTCCATCTTCTCGGTCACCCGTGCCTCGCACTCCAGCTGGGACTTGGTGGCCTCCAGTTTGGAGCCTGGGGTGGGAGGGAAGCGGCAGTGAAGGAAGTCTGTGCCTGCACCCACATCCCACCCCCTTGCACCCCACCAGGCACTCACCCACCAGTGGGTCCTGCAATTGCAGGGTCTGGAAGTCCGCGGTGAGCTTGTTCCTGGCTTGCTGCAAGGACGTTCATCATCATCCCCTGAGCTGCTGGCACCCTGGGGGAGCTGGCTCTGCAGCCCCCTCCACCCCATTTGGGGCTCAGCACTGAGGCCTGCCATCTGCCTGCAGCCCTGCCTGCATCACGTCCCCCCAGCTCACCACTCTCCGATACTTTTCCTTTGCTTCCCTGAGCCAGGCTCTGTCGATATTCCGCTCCTGGGCAGCCAGGGAGCAACGCCTGAGGTGTCTCTGCACAAGCAACTGGGTTTTTCTCTTGTCCATTTCTTCCTTGAACATATCAGAGAAGGGAGAAGAGGCTGTCAAAGCTGGAATGGACCTTTGTGAGCCAGCTGAGCTTCTGGGATGGCCAGTATCAAAAAAGACACCCCCTCCATGGGAAGGAAACTGGGCAAGGAGGGTTGGAGGATGGAGCATGCTGCCTTCACCATGGTTGGTGCTTCAGGCAGGCTGTCCCCAGCCCTGGGGCAGCCTGGCCCAAAAGCAAGACCTGGGAGGAGCTATGGAGGCATCTGGGTGCTGTGGGCAAGCCCAGCTCAGTCTTTTTTGCTCTTTATTTGCTCACCAGCCCAGGCACGTGGTGCCGTCTGTGGGCTCTGGAGAGGAGGAAAGGGCCCCAAGGTGCCCCGGACCATCTCACCTTGGCTACATCAGCAGCTTTGAGAGCATGCAAGGCCATGAGCTCTATGTCTTCCAACTCCCCACGGTACAGCTCGGCCATCTCACACAGGAGGTCCAGGTGTGGAGGCAGGTGGACCAGCTCCTAGGACATAGCGAGTCACAGGACGTCACCCCACGGAGCCCCAGGAGTCCCCGGTGCTGTGACAGGGGATGGAGGGGAGCAAGAGGACCTCACCGGTCCGGGAGGGCATCCCGCCAGCGCAGCCCCTCGGGCACTTCATTGCCTTTGCAGGGGGAGCGGGTGTGATGATGGCACGGTGAGGAGGAGCTCACCTTCCTCAGGACATCCCGTATCACCAGGTGCAGGGCAGTCACCCTCTGTCCAGCACGGACTTTGGTCACCATCTTCTCAATGTTATTGTCCAGCTGGCGAACCACCTGGGGCAGAGATCGGGGGTACACACATGGGGTGACCCCATGTGCCAAGCCCAGGGTTGGATTAAAGCCCCCTGTGGTTGCTGCCACCCCAGGAAGGGGTCCTGGGTACCTGAACCTGCGCCCGGTGCTGCTTGTCATTCAGCTTGGCATCCTTCAGCTACTGCAGTTGCCTCTGCAGCTCGTCCCCGGCTCAGCTCCGCTCCGCTGCCTCAGCTGGTACAGCAGCATGTCGCACGTGTTCACCCAGTCATAGATTTCATTCTGGAGCTTCTCCTTGGCCACCAGGATGGGCACACGAGCCTTCGTCAGGCTGGAGGCAGGGCTTGCTGGGCACCCGTGGGAGAAGAGGGTCCCGTCTGGAAAAGTTCGCCCAAGGCAGAGCCAGGGATGCTGGGCTGTCATGCCGGGATATCGCTCCGGGACATCGTCACTCCCTTGGCAGGATGGGGTCTGGGAGAGCTTTGCTCTGGTGGTTTGGTTGGGGTAAGGCAGAGGTGGGCATCTGCTGATAGCAGTGCTAGGTGGGGTGTAGGGACTCTGCCTAACACAGACCTGGGGCTGGGTGTCAATAAAATCCATCAGTGCCCCAGATGCGGATGCTGGTGGAGAGCGGCCGCACCGCTCTGTCCCTGCGAGAGGCCCCCGGGCAAAGGCAGCTCCGCAGGGCCAGCGCCTCTGTCTCCATGGGCTTATAACCAGGTCATAACCTTGGGACAGGCAGCGAAGGGCAGAGACAGCCTCCCTCTCCCAGGGATGCAGCTGCATCCCGCAGGAACCCGGGCAGCCCTGGGAACACGCAGGGTGGGACAGCCAGGAGCTCTCCTGGGGCACAGAATCTGCTCAAGGAGCTAAAGGAGGACCTGCACAGGTGGGTCCCGTGGTGGGAAGGAACCTGTGGGACCACGAGACAACCCGCTGTCTCGCCGCACCAGCCCCCTGGGGCTGTCCTTGTGCCGGCACCAGGTCCCTCTGCCGTGCGCTCTGTTC